AGATGGTAGGGAGAAAGCAAGTGAGAAATAACGGGGCCGCTACCCTTTACGAAGCGAAATCTTATCCGCGAAGACGCTGATGGGAATTAATGAGAGCTCACCGCTGCAGTAAGCTCTAGCCAACATTTTTAGACGCCACAAGGCGAGTGTCTGCGCGAAAATACGTCTTTTGGGAGACTATACGAGAGTATAACGCTTTGAAAGATTTTTACGGTCTACTTTGTTTGAAAATTTCGTCCGTAATTCTCGATTAAATGGCAACTGTTTGTCGGGTCTAAGCGTGTTTCGGATAGTAATTACTTTAGAATCCAATCGATAACTCGTAGATTACTTCTTAAAAACCCTTTTTCGAGTTACGTACGAAGTCAATAAAAGGAAGGGAATAAAAAATCGGGATGAACTAGCGAAATAGTTTAGCTTGCACTTCGCAGCCGCTTGAAAAATTTCATTGCAGCGTGATACTAATTTTAAACTTGGCGTTTAATAGGGATGCGAAGAGTAGTTGATTAGACTCTCAATGCGGATCCTTGATGGACAGGCTTTCAAGAAATTTACCAAGCTCGCCCGTCTTAGGTCCTATTTAACTATCCAAGTTCTACGCCGAGCTGTTATAGAAAGTTTCCATGCTAGGGACTGTGCGTGGTCTTACTTTTAAACGTCGATTTTGCCTCGAAGACGCGAAAATTTCGGGCCATTCATTGAAGTATTTTCAAGTTTACTTTATTGTTTTCATTTATTTATGCTTCATCGTCGAATAGGTAAACGAACGAAACGTAAAGATTGGCAATGGTTCTCCTGGTATAAAACGAGGATTACCATCCTCTCTCTCTCTCGCATCGAGCGTCCCACGCTTTTTATAATCTGTCATATTTTATCAAAGCTCTGACGGCACATGTTCGTCGTATGTGCTCATAAAGCATGCAACGAGGGATCTACCGGTCTGTGACGAGTTACGCTCCACGCGACCACGATGTTTCCTGTGGATACTGCCGGCTACCGGAAACAGCTTCCTCTTTGCTACGGTAGGGAGACACCAAATGCAAGTCGATAGATCGATACGGTACAACGAAACCGCATCATCCTCGACGTTTCCTTTTCGTTTCGTTCAATCATCCGAACTTGACCGGCTTCGAGATACCTCTCTGCAGCAAATCGCACGATCGATCGCGTACTATTTCTTTCTCTCGGAATCGTTATCCAACTCTTTTCAACGACACGTTTAATTTAATCGCCAACTCTTTACTTGATTATTCACTCTCAAAAAGCGTTCGAGCTTTCCGCGACTACGCGTAAAGTCCCTATGGCAAATTGACTTTCCAGTTACCGCATCTATAAAATTCACCTGCTAATAGCTTTGCTTTTTCAACATTATTTTGCCTTTTTAACGTATAATTACTTGATTTTCTGTAAACATTGAGCATAATGCTAAAGAGCGAGATAGAGAGACGATACGATCGAACGAAAAGAAAGCTCGAGCTTTTTCCACAGGGCTTTATCCAAGCATCCGATAGAAACAATTTTGCTTTGAGGCTTTTCAGATTGTGGCCGAGCTCTATTCTTGCCAGAATATTGTAGGATAGAGAGAGAGAGAGAGAGAGAGAGAGAGAGAGAGAGAGAGACCGGAAATGAGATCCTTTCTAAATTGGCTAAAACAGCGGATCTAGGAGATCCGACCGACTCGAGAAGCACCGATTTTCTCGCTTTTACACGATACCGTCGAAGAAGCGCGCAAGGAAAGAGCGAAAACGCCTTGGCCCGTTTACGACCCACGCTACTAGTAGCATACGCGTGTCGGTTCGTTTACGTTAATAACGAAAACCATTCTCCTTCCCTTCGCGACAATTACGTTTCGTTTCCATGAAAGGACCGACAAAAGCCGAGACTCTTTGCAAATTCATAATTAATCTATTAAAGAATATTGTACTTTTTTAGATTATTTAATTCGTCGTACTTTTTTTTTATTTGCGTAGATCTCGCTTCGAACGTCACGTCTTTTTCTTAAGCTTGCAAAAATGAAGGAGAATAAAAATAGAAAAAAGGTGGAAGGAAAAGGAAAAAGTAGCAACTTGCGTAATAGAACGAAAAGCGGAGTCGAATACGCGAAAGAAAAGACAGAACAGAAAGAGGTGGAAACGGGAGTTTTCTTACTGTTCTATCCAATTTCCTTGACTTCTCTTCTACCGAAGGTAACTTTGCCACGCTGGTGTGTTACTACCTTTGCGTTCCTCACAAAAGCGACTCGAACGGAAAGGATAATAAAGGAAGTAACTTTGACGCTAATTCTTCTCGACTTTTTCAAGAAACTTGTACTCGGTGCAATGTACTCCGAGCATGATCGAAAATAAAATCTCGCTCTCGAGATATTTTGTATTTTTGATTTAATTTAAATCATATCTTTGCTTACTTTTATTTCTATGTAATAATCGGTAAAGCGTTCGGAGCGTAGACTATATTTATTAGTAGCCGGATATTCCTCGTACTTAAAGGAATTGCAAGTTATACGTATATGTCACGGCACTTCTTCCATTTCCGGTAAGGAACTCTCTAAGAAGAGTAATAAAGGAAGTAACGTTATATCCTCGTAGTTCCGACTTTCCAACTTTTTAGAATCCACCTACATTCGTTTCTCGAGTTGACCTCTTTCTTTCTGCACTTTTATCATACCTCCGCCCGATGGTTTAGCCTTCGTCTTTTTCAATTTCTATATCGCGTTAGGCGTTAGAGCGCTAAACAGGAGCAGGAAACGTTTCATCGAGTTAGTCGTGAAAATTGGATTATGCGCCGAGAGGATCGAATAGAGAGACCTCTTCTCTCTCCCCTTCTCCCATTCTCTCTTTTTTTATCGTTCGTTGGTTCATTCGTTTGTTGGTTCGTTCGTTCGTTCGTTCGTTCGTTCGTTCGTTCGTCCGTTCGTTCGTTCGTTCGTTCGTTCATTCGTCCGACCGTCCATTCTTCCGTCCCCACGATTCTTTGTCTTTTTCTTTTTCATCTTTGGACAAGTCGAGAGCGAAAGACGAGAGAAAGAGAGAAAGATGGAAAAGCGTATCGAATGCATATCGATCTACTGTTCAATGGAGAGACGAGGGTGTATCGCAGCTGCATACCTGCGCGTCCTATTTGCAGGTACGCTTCTCTCTTTGCGCCGACAGCTTCTCACGTGTCAATTCGAATCGTCGCTTCGTAACGTGCCACCTTCAACCGAACGGACGTGTTCGAACGCATTCGCCTAGCCCGATATTACTCCGATAAGCTCGCTGTATTCCCTGCACACGAACCATTCGCAAGGGTCTTTTCATCCTCGTCTCTCTGCTACGAAACGTCGTGTATAACGTCCAACACGTTCATCCAACTTTATCACCTATCGTCGTCCCTTTCAGCGACGTGGAAAATAACATGGGACTCTCTTTTGTTTTGTCGATCTTTCTGCTCGTTGCCTCGCTCGATTCTTTTCAATTTTTCCTCTCTTAGTTCTCTCCTTGGTTTGCTTTTTTCTTATCGTTGCGAGTTTATATTTCATTCTACGTTTTCATCGTTTCCACATATATCATCTTTTGATATTATCATTAGAAATGATTATTCTACACGATCGTCGAAGTAGTTTTCCTTCCATCGAACATTTACATAGCGTTTAGTGTTATACGTTAAAAGACTTAGTTTCGTATTCTAACTCGCGAATACAATAATCGCTTTTCATAGTTATACCTCTTAATGCATATTACACAAATACAATAGTTGTAGAACGGAGAGGTGCTCGTTTGCTTTTCTATGTTGCAAGAAAGGAAAAAAAAAAGGCCGGAGCTTTTCAAGCTGGATGCAAACGATGTTAGAAGTGTCGACCTACCGAGCGAATAAAAGTATATTGCTTGTGGAATTTATTTGAATTGTATATTCTAGCCCAGATATCGCGAACAAACGATATCGTTCTACCAATCGCATTTTTGTTACCTCCCTAGTTCCTTCGCAAAAACACGCTTTATTCTCTCTCGCTCTCTCTCTCTCTCTCTCTCTCTCTCTCTCTCTCTCTCTCTCTCTCTCTCTCTCATCTCTTCGTCATTTCGAAGAGCTTTCTTTGAAAATTTTCAGCGCAAGATTTTCAAAGACTTCCCTTGCGTATTTTTCTTTTTTCCCTTTTATATTAGCGGAACGAATCTTTGTCGATCGTGTTAAGATTAGGTACTCGCCCTAACGTAGCTGAAGCAAAAATCGATACAAATATTGAACCAGAAATGCTTTCTCTTCGAATTCAGACTCGGTTAATTTGCTTTCCCGCGTACTTCTTTTAACTTTCACTCGTCCGATTTTAAACGACAATTTTACTATTGGCCATGTATTTTATCTCGACGTCCTTTTATCTACGATTTATTTAACGGCCACGAAGACACGAGGAAAAACGATCCTCGAGATCGATCGAGTGTACGCGAAAAAAGAGCGATCGACTTTGTTCAAACTCGTTCGAAGAAGCCAAAGAAACGAAGAATTTTCTATGCTTCCATTTCTCTTTTTTCTTTCGACGTCGTTTCTTCTTCGCTAAAATGCTGCTAGGAAATTTTCCTGAAAATATTCGAAGACTTTTGTTCGGCCGTGCTGATGTTCCTGAATTAAAATCACAATACTTTTCCGACGCCTCGCTGAACAATGTAGCCAGGCAGGACGAGCTATGCATTCCTATATAATTCAAGCACGATGGCTACCGGACAGAAAGGAAACTGAAAGAGAGAGAGAGAGAGAGAGAGAGTGAGTCTGTTGGAGGATGGGCCGCCTTTGTCACGCACGAATACTTGGAATACGCAAAGAAAAACTTATCTAATATAAATTCATAGTTGGAAATTACAAACGATATCAAATATTATCAGAAATGTTTTTTTCTTTTTTTTTTTTTTTTTTCGAAACAAATTTTGATCTGGTTTTATTGACGAGCCAAAAAGTGATATTACTTTATTAAAATTCTGTTTGACGCTTGTCTTGTAGTTTAATTAATAAACGATTATCATGTGTTTCAGCTCGCCGATTAAACGAATACATTCGCCACTACGAACCACTTTCCTATCCAACGGAGGAGGTCCACAGAGGTCACCTGAGGGCCAAGAGGTCGGTCACCCGCGACAATTCCGTGACTTTAAAGTTTCGCTCACACGGCAGAGACTTTCACATTCGACTGAAGCGAGACTTGAACACGTTTAGCAATAATCTAGTTATAGAGGGTCCTACCGGACATGAAGAGGGACTTGATACCTCGCATATTTACGAGGGTTATCTCATCGGTAAGTCGAAACTCTGGTCAATCGTCTGCATAGATAGCTCGTCGATTGGATTTTCTCGTCAAACGATTGCCTCGCTAAGCATTATCTTTGCTAGAATGAAATTCGATAATGCGTGAACTTTGAAAATAAAAATTGACGGTAGCGAAATGTTCTGAAAGAAAGAGAAAATGAGAAAGCGAGAAAAAGAGCGTGGGTGTCGATATGATATACCATAACTCTATACCCCGATATCGACTTGCATTTCTAAACATAGAATTGCACTGGTACTGCACCAAAGTATTCCAGATAGAACGTTTGATATTTCTCGAGACTATGGGAAAATGATAGAGGTGAACTACTATAGAACAATTTATTCCATTTCTTTTCTATTTCCTCCGCTATACATTTACATTAACATCTTCCTCTCGCGTATTTTCTATCTTTGCTGTCGTGATCTTTTTACTATCATGGGGCAACTAGCTGGACTTTTTTTTTTTCTTTTTTTTTTTTTTTTTAAACACGAAGAAGAAGCAGAGAGGGAGAAAGAGAGTGAGGGAGGGAAAAAGAGTTATTCGAGAGTTGAAAATTATGTTCTCTTCTTTAGTAAAAAAAAAAAAAGAAAAAAGAAAAAAAGAAAAAAAAAGAGAGAACAAAAAAGTCTTACCATGCGATCACGAGCATTCCTATTTAAAGTATGACTACATACGTTATCCACTATACCGACCAGGTGTGGCACGCAAAAGTGCGTGTCACAGTAGATACCGAGTGAAACCTTTATTCCTACTCTAATAATTTACCCTAGTCAAGTCCCTCGGTGGCACGTGGAAGAGGGACGAGAGGACGGTTAGTACCGGCGAAGGGAGACATTTGAAATTATAGATCAGCTTGCTCGAGGTGCTGGAACGATTTATCTCTGAAACTCCGTCGATTCTTTTCCTCGTTGCTGTTGATGTTGCAGCGAGCTGACCCAGGCTAGAATTCGATGCGTTCGTTGGATAACAACGGGACGGAAAGCTCCGGGAAAAGAGAGAGCTTTTTCTCTGGCTCGCGTTTTAACTCGAGCCAGATCAAAAGGAATTCTGGAAATGGTTTCACCAACGTTTTGCAGCATTTCAAACGTCTCCGTGTAACGAGAGGAAGAAAAGAAAGGAGAATAATGAGAGAACCATTTTTTTTATTCTTAGACGAATATATATGAGTATACGAATTTCCTAGTGACCCATTTTTATTCATTCCTTTCGTAACATCGATAAAATAATGAAATATATTATAATCGTAGTTTATCTCATATGCTTATAGATACGCGTTGACCAAAGGGACACGAAAAGAAAGAAAGAAAGAAAAAAAAAGAAAAAAGAAAAAAAAAAAGAAAAAGAAAAGGAAAAGAGAACGCGCAACAACATTTTTCTGCCCGCGGCTTTGACCATTTTTTAGCTTTCTTTGTTTTTATTCCTTTTGCTTCTTTCTTTATTTTTCCGGCTTATATTTAGGAGCTCTTTTCGAGTAGTGATCTCTTTCTTCCCTTCTTTTTTTTCCCCCCTTCTTTCTTTCTTTTTTGTTTCTCCCTTTTTTTTTTTTTCTTTTCCCTTCCACAACTCCAGAATGACTAATAGAGAATTCTTTCCCTTTTTCTCTTTTCTCCCTCCTCGTACCCTCGTGTCGCGCTTCCTCCCGGTCTCTCTTTATTTCGCTTGGAAATACGTTCTCGCGAGTTTATCTAAAATTAACACGCTTTGGCATTGGGTTTCTCGCGCGGGGACGTCACGTCTATTGTTCTTGATGTGTCCCGTAGTTAAGGTTAATATCTTCGTTCCGGTGACCACGCGAATTTTCATTACCTTTAACGTCGTTGCATTTGCATCGCCACGCGTGTCATTGTTTGCCTCTCCCGTCGACGATCTACATAAAAAGATATTAAGGAGATAAGATTTCATTGTTAATAATCTCATAGTAAAGCAGAAGGCGTACGATTTTAATCGCGATATGCTATTTGCTTTCAGGAGAACCAGGTAGCCATGTATTCGGAAGCATCACCGATGGTGTCTTTCATGGGAAGATAGTGTCACCACGAGCTGGTGCGTGGTACGTCGAAAGAGCACACTATTACTTTCCGCCACACGAGATAAACGATACCCTGCATTCTGTGATCTATCACGAAAATGACGTCGGTGATCCATACTCTCAAGTTCGACAAGGTAAGCCGCACTTCGATATCTATCAGTTACGTATTTCAACCCACGCATTTAGATTTTCTTAAAAGGCCAATTGTAAAAATATAAGTAACGTTCGTGAATAATAGTTCGTGGTTGCTTGTAATATTCCGAGCGTTCGGTTTTAAACTTTAAAACTCGAGCGTGGACATGCGGGTGGATCGGTCGATTGATGTTAACGATCTCCTCCTCAGAACCAAGAGGGAAAACGGAGGAAAGAAAAAGATAGAGAGAGAGAGAGAGGAAAGGGTCGTGTCGCTTACACACTTGGCCGAGCACCCCTTTGTCGCGTCGAGGATGTCCACTCGCGTGCGCACGCGCGCGCCGAGCATGTATCTTTTTTTCTTGCTCAAAAAGAGAGAGAGAGAGAGAGAGAGAGAGAGGCAGAGTTTTCATCCTGGACAGTGTGAACCACCATTAAAAGCTTTATGATGGAAGAAGAAAATAAAAGTAACGGGATGAATAAGCCGAGCACATTTATGACAATAATGATGAAAAATCGTCACTGTTTTAATATCGCAAAGAATTAAACTCGTACGGTACGTACGTGAGTATCCACGCGATTTCTTCGGATCCATTAAAAAATGTATACACACGGAGTGGGGTGAACGTCTTATTAACTGATTCAAGCTATCGTAGCAAAGCAAAATCATACCATATAGAACTATCGAAAAGTCTTTGGCTGTTCGAACGCTACGCGTTATTTGCGTTATCGCTATGAGTTTCTTCGATAGCTGCTACGTGGAATACCGCGATAGAACAGAGAGAGAGAGAGAGAGAAAGAGAGAGAGAAAGAGAGAGAGAGAGAGAAAGAGAGAGAGAGAGAAGAATATCAGTACAGAGTTTCGAATATATGTGCGCTGAAATACCCAAAATGGCTTTCGAGAAATACCCCTGCAATATGTGTTCGTGCGCTTTACTCGCTTTGATGTCGGCTTTGATGTCTTCCATAAAAGAAAATACTTAATACGTATGTACGTACATAGACACATACGCGTTATCAGGAGTTGAGAAAAGTATGTCGCGAGCATAGATTTCGAAATCAGTGGGCAGAGAATGACATTCGTATTCAGGAGAGGAAGCTCTCGCAAATTTTAATCGAGACAGCTTCTACAACCTTCTCTTGGATCTCCTTTCGTCTATCTACATCTACGTCACCTTGTATCTCACACGTGTATTTGGACTGGTCGTGCAAATAGCCAACGCTTAAATAAACGGGTAGCATATCGCGTGTAATATTTATCATGGCTCTCTCTCTCTCTCTCTCTCTCTCTCTCTCTCTCTCTCTCTCTCTCTCTCTCTCGTGGCAGCGAACGAACGAACAGGTGTTTGCATACAAGATATGTGTGTCGTTATGAAAATATGTGCGACATACAGCGAGAACTCACACTTTCCGCAAGATCTTGTTTAAACGTTCACGAATATTCGATGACGGTGCTGAAGTCTTCTTCAGTTTCCTCGTCGACTCTATAGAATTTTATATGAGCAATACTTTCTTCTTATGTATCTCCGTTTCTCTCCCTTTCTCCCTCTCTCTATCTCTCTCTCTGGCTCTCTAAAAAGGAACTATAACATTTCTACAAAACGTTCATTCACATTAACGCCACCGCAAGGAGTAGTAGCAATAAAGATAGCCAATATCGTCTTGCTGAAATGTCGAGTCATTAAAGCTCGTCGCTCTGAGTTAATTTGGCAGTAAAACCACCGGTAGTCGGCACGATTATCTGATATGACAGTAGCAGGCAATACTATTGATCCCATTGGTGGTAGAAAGAAGGCGGAAACTTGTAAAAAAAAAAAAAAAAGAAGAAGCCGAGAGAACGTATGTACACGTTTGTGCATAAATCAAGGAAAGGGATAAATTAGGGGTGGTTACGGAGTTTCCTTAAACATCAATTGCGCTGTGGTTACCTACCAAAAGTAAATGTTTTCATCAAGAGCGTCTCTTACTACTTGGCGAAGCCGACGTTGTCGAGCAGGTAAAGGAAAGTAAGCTTTTTGAAGCCGCTTCCCGTTTTACTTTCTTGTCTGATTTATGCAAGCAAGTACTCGCAAAGCTCCTCGACTAAATCTCGACTCACCCTTCTTCTTCTTCTTTTCCCCTTCTCCCTTTTTTCTCCTCTCTTTCTCTCTTCCCTTCTATTTCGCCTTTCGATATCTCAAGCAGGCTTACAAAATTTATCAAAATTCTATCCTCGAATATGCAAGAACAATGTTCGTCCCTTTACGAGTTTATTACAAATAAAATATGAGGAAGGTGGAGAAGAAAAGGGTGGTCATAGAAAGCGCTATAAGAGGTAGTCGGTTTTAATAGCTTCGTCGTTGCTATCAAAGAGGAAAGTAATTATTTAAATAGCTCCGGGTAAGCGAGCAGCGCGGAGACGAGAGAAAAATTTTTCACGAATCTCGTTTAAACCGTGCGCGGGAAAGACGGCGGGACGTAAAATAAACGTATAAATGTAAAACGTAGTTTATTCCATCTTGTAAAGTCGTGCTTGGAAAACGAAGACGGACATGTATCTATCTCGTTGGAATGGATTTAAGAGGAAAGAGAGAGAGAGAGAGAGAGAGAGAGAGAGAGAGAGAGAGAGAGAGAGAGAGAAAGCGAGAGGTTCTTTGGAGATTATTGAAAAAAACAAAAGAAAGAAAGAAAGGAAGAAAGAAAAAACGCGCTTCGTGAAGACGATTTTATCGTGGAAAGATTTTCCGTCGCGTTCGATAAGAACGATGTCAAAGGAAGTTCTCACGAATTGCGAACATTATTAATTGCGATGGTCAGAGGGATTTCTTTCTCTTTTGCCTACTTCTTCTATATAAAATCTTGGATTCATTTTTTCAGGCGACTCCAGTGGCTGTGGCATTAACGAACAGATAATCGAGTGGATGGATAAAATTCAAAATTCCGGCGACCTCGACTTACCTACTCCGATTACGTCGAAAAAGGATACGAAGCCGAAAGTCGAGCCGTGGAATGGCGAGCAGGAAACTCCTGGACACAAATATACCAGAGAAGCGAACGAACCGAGTCATCGAAGAGCACGCAGAGCTACTAGACCGAAGGAAGACAATAAAAACACCTGTTCGTTGTTCATTCAAACGGATCCTCTTATTTGGCGGCATATATCCGAACAGGTTTGAATAATGTCGCCTATTTTCCTTGTTCTCACATTCCCGTTCTTCTTTCTTGGCGAACGAAGAAAATTAAAAGTAACATCGACTTTTCCAGCTGCATCACGATGCAGAAAAAACGAGAGAGGAAATACTCTCTTTGATCGCGCATCACGTCACAGCGGTGAACTACATTTACAGAGATACCAGATTCGACGGTAGAATCGAGCACAGAAACATCAAGTTCGAGGTACAAAGGATAAAGGTAAATAAAGAATATGTAGACATTTTTATTATTCAAATTGTTTTCATAATTGTGTAGAAACACACGATATCCTCGTTTGTTACTATTTAAATGATTTGTTCCTATGCTAGATCGACGACGATACCGCGTGCACGCAACAGCAGACTTATGGCGAGCCAAATCCATTTTGCATGGAAAACATCGATGTTAGCAATTTTTTGAATTTACACTCGTTGGGCAATCACGAGGACTTTTGTCTCGCTTATGTGTTCACCTACAGGTAGATAAATCTATTGATTTTGAGTGTACGTTCGATTATCGTAATGATTTCTCCAAACTTCTGTTTTCTGTTTCTTTTTTTTTTTTTCTTTTTTTTTTTTTTTCTTTGACAATTATCGAAAGGGATTTTACTGGCGGTACCCTCGGTCTCGCTTGGGTCGCTTCGGCGTCCGGCGCTTCCGGTGGTATTTGCGAGAAGTATAAAACGTATACCGAGACCGTAGGAGGGATGTATCAATCCACGAAGAGATCTCTCAACACCGGTATCATCACTTTCGTGAATTACAACAGCAGAGTTCCGCCGAAAGTTTCCCAACTGACATTGGCTCACGAAATAGGTCATAACTTTGGATCGCCGGTAGGAATTTATGATACATTCTAAAGTTTCATCCGCCTGATTAACAATTTACTTGATAATCGGTGCAGCCGGAAATAAAGGTATACCTGCGTTTCTACTTTTATCTTCTTCTCCTTTTGTCTCGCAGCATGATTTCCCACCCGAATGTAGGCCAGGCGGTTTGCATGGTAATTATATCATGTTCGCTTCTGCCACGAGCGGTGATCGGCCTAACAACAGTAAATTCTCCAAATGCAGCATTGGCAATATCAGTAACGTCTTGGACGCGATAGAGGATAATAAGAAAAGGAATTGCTTCACCGGTAAGAAAGTAACATATTTCCATGTTCTATTATTATTTCAAGTTGATTCGAATAGAAGATTTATGAATGATCATCCTTTGCAAACAGCGTCGGCCGGTGCGTTTTGCGGTAACAAAATCGTCGAGGCGGGCGAAGAATGCGACTGCGGTTACGACGACGACGAATGCGTGGATAAATGTTGTTATCCGAGGCAGGTGTCGGAATTGGATAAGATTAAAAACGAAACGGCGAAAGGATGCAGCAGAAAATACGGGACACAATGCAGGTAAGACAATAATCAGTTGGAATATGCGCGCGTACTACGCAGCTTACTGGAATTTCCTCTTTATTATCTCACGATTCCATTGTTCTCCTCGTAGTCCCAGTCAAGGACCTTGTTGCTCGAGCGATACGTGCCAGTTCGTGCCTCTCTCGCACAACGTTCAATGCAAGGCCGAATCAGACTGCAGCTACAATTCCACGTGCAATGGGAAATCTTCCGAGTGTCCCGCTCCATTGCCAAGGGCCAATAAAACAAGATGCAACGAAGGAACTCAGGTACCTTTCCTTCTACGATCTACGAATGATCCATTTTCCTCGATTTACAAAGAAACGTGTTTCATTATTCGAACGTAGCTCTGTATCAACGGCGAGTGCACTGGATCAATTTGTCTCGAATGGAACTTGACGGAGTGCTTTTTAACGAGCAACATCATTCCTAACATAGACAAACGGAAACTTTGCGAGCTGGCTTGTCAGAATGGTACCGATCCATCGACTTGTCGAAGTACCAGTGAGTTTGCTCACGTCGTCGGCCTACCCGAGGGTGGGATAAGTCTCAGACCTGGCTCACCGTGTGACAACTTTCAGGTATTTCATCGGATCGAGCTATTACATTTAGGAAGAAGAAAAATAGGGGTAAAAGTTATGCGTACACGTACACATATATTTATATCGATTTATCATTTAGGGTTACTGCGACGTCTTCTTGAAGTGTAGAGCGGTCGATGCCGAAGGACCACTCGCGCGATTGAAAAATCTCTTATTCAACAAGGAAACTTTATCGACCGTGGCGCAATGGGTAACTGTAAGTCCTTCCACGATACGCTCGAAAAGTTTAGAAACGCTATAATTCCATTGAAACGGTACAATAAGATAAATATTAATATTCTACAGGAATACTGGTGGGCAGTCCTTTTAATGGGTATAGCTTTCATCATTTTCATGGGATTATTTATCAAGTGTTGCGCCGTGCATACGCCGTCTAGCAATCCGAAGAAACCACCTGCGAGACGCATCAGCGACACATTGAGAAGGCCGATGAACACGCTCAGGAGGATGGTAACGTTAAATAATTTTTTTTTTTTCTTTTTTTTTTTTCTTTTTTTTTTTTTTCTTTTTTTCTTTACTAGCATATACGAAACGATTGATAACACATAATTTGATTATTTCTAAAGCGACACCCTCACGGTGGCGGAGGCCCAGGACCAAGGAGTATACCTCCGAGGCAGGGTCAAGGAGGGTATAGTGGAACGCGAGGACCCTCTCATGGTTACGGTGAGGGTAGGGGAGCTCAGCATTATCCTAAAGGTGAGAATTCGTAAAGACTCTAATCTTCGTCGAAGCAGCCACCTTCGCTCGAGTTTGATTAAAATGTTTATCACGTTGTACGAGTAACACGCTAAAATTTAAGTTTCGTTACGCTTATTGGTTATAAAGCAAACTCGAGTTAAAAAAGCTGGCTTGATATTTTCCTCATATAATCCGCAATTACATCAATGTTTTTTCCTGTTTGCATTTATCCTGCATTGATTGATTGACGCGCATCACTGCCTGATACTAACGTTCTATGAACTACAGAGGTGAGCTGGGGCCTATTTTCTCTATTCATTCGCAAATTCAGGAGCAAATTCACGAATACCATAGCATCGTACAATTAAAAATATTAATTCAAAGTATATAGAAGGCTCCAGCGGACTTCTATTCGAAGTCTTTCATCACTCGCACGATATACGAATATAATATCACCTCCCTCGGTTCTTGTATTTGCTCCTTGTTTTTGATCGTTAAAAAAGCCTCATATCAGTTAGGTGTATCGCTAATTGGTCAAATCCTTTCGCTATTGCGATCTAATCGGAAATATTTAAAGGGGAACGTAGTATCTCATATAATTGCATGCAAGTAGTGCGATATCTTGAAGGATAATTTCGTAATATCCCATCCATCATTCTCATATTTCCTTCCTTGTGAAAAGCTAATCGTCGTTGCTCTGGATTCTTATATCTCGTTTCATCGTCGAACGTCTTTCTAAACAGGCTATCGCTTGGTTCCCACAGCTAGTGCGCCACCAAGCAGCAGTATCGCAGGCAACTACGGTCGCTCCAACCATTCAGAATTGTACGCCGGTGCCTATTCGAGCACCGGGGGAGGGGGCAGAGCCCCGGCCTACGAGATGAGGCATCACAATAAAGTCTGACGATCCTAGAATGCTGCTGTCACAGTCAGCAGAAGGCAGCGGTCTCGTTCCGTAAAACGAACGCGTCCGGATATCTGTGAAGCAACAAACCGATAAGGAAAAGAAGACGCAATAAAAAAAGAGAGAGAGAAAAAAAAGAAAAATAAAAAAAACGTCCGGCATTGTGTTTTCGAAGAGAGTGTATATATATATATATATATATATATATATATATATATATATACATCTCCGATTGTAGGCGCACCGTGGTGTTGGACTCTGTTGACATTCGAATATTTCGCGAAGCACCGCTGTGTCCTCTAATCCGTAACATTTACGTTTTTAAAAACATTCGCGAGCGAACGTGTGAGTGGGGATATGAGTGAGAGACATTGTACGTGTCATCATCGATCACAAAGTCGAAGGCTTGTTCGTTTATGCTTCGTCAGTATGTACTTTGCCATCGAGGTGGAAAGAACGAAACTTGGAAAATGGAAGAAGGAAATGTGGAAGTGTTACGTGGGCCTTTGCTAAGCTTGTGGAGCCTATTACGAAGAGGCATGGTTGTGAGTTTCGTATCACTTCCCAGAGAAACAAAAGAGCGAGAACGAGCGAGTACCTTCTTACTTACAATCACGACCTACTTACATAACGCCCTTGGCAAAAACGTTTTCAGACATTTTTATCTCTCTGTAAGATAGCATATTATTACTTCTTTGCAGTTTCGAGAAATCCTCGAGAATTTCTATTCCATGCTTTCGATTTCTTGCGATCGATTTCGATTAAATAAGTATTGCCGAATTAATCACGAGAGTAATTTTGCGTACATATTTTAAGCGATATGCGTCGTATACGGAATATCGACGTAATCATTTCTGACTTTTTTTTTTTTTTTTTTTTTTTTTTTTTTTAATTATACTCTGTAACACGTTTGTTGACGTCTTTGCCACAATTTAACGTGAGCATTTATTTCTGCGAGTTCTTGTTATAAGGAGTAGAAGACTGCTGTTGTAAAGAGAGTGAGAGTGAGAGAATAAGAAAGAAAGAGTGAAGATTCGAAACAATAGACGAGGAACGCGACAATATTCAGAGAGAGGCTTTGAGCTCTCTGGAGAGTATAGAGTAAGGCATTAAAACAAAAAGGTTCGGTGTAATTTTTAAAACGTTGTCATTGACATTTTATCGTTCATTTTATAAGTTTGCGGAAAATCTGTATGTATATATATATATATATATATATATATATATATATATATATATGTATATTCCGAGAATATTTATATCGTTCGGCTATGAAAAATTGGCGAGAATGTTTCGGTCAAACTGGCAAAATAATTAGTTCTTCCCGTTAAATTGTATATACGAAACGCGTTGAGAGAGAAATACTAATTCCATTTGATGAATATTTCTGAGTGGCAGTATACGTTTGCGTTTTAGATTTACTTTTTTGATACTCCTTGATAGTCGAAGTAGAGGAAAAAGGAGTAATCATGTTCCATATCTTGAAAAGCGAAACGTCGTTGATATTTATCCAAGGATAAATAACGCCTATCACTACCAAACTGTTACAGGTCATTCGTTTGATCTCGGTACCATTCTAGGATAACTATTAAACCATATGTATTATTCTTATACTAATTTTTATTAGGCAATTGGAAGGAGCGAGGCTATTAATTAAATTAAAATGAAGAGGAGATTTAAAAAGCAGCGAGGAGAGAAAAATAAAGAGAAAAAAAAGAGATGATGATTCCATTAACGATTGCAAATCGAACAACAATGGATATCGTTACTATGGATGGATTCCGCTTATTATTATTATTAATTCTATTTACTATTATTACAAATTAGTTATCTATTGCAAATGATAATTTATCTACGCGCCGTCGCGAATGTTATAAGTTATATTTAATGTGCGACTTTTAACCATGCAAATTGTCAGGGGCTGCTACAACCGTAAAAGCGCTTTCATTTCTTAGGCGCATGGCGGACCAAAGATGAGCTCCTTTTTCTAATGCGAACAAATTCTAACAGAATTCGTGGGGGCTCGAGCAGCACACACACACAGCTGCATACTCGTATACGAGATATCGAAATCTACGCGAAGAATGTCGTTGTTGTTTCTTTTTCATTTTTTCAGTGCCAGCAAACTTGATCGCATGCTCGCGATCGAGCCTTTTAAATTTAGCAACGTTTCAATCTCTCTCCGTAAAATAATTCTACCTTTTCTTCCTTTTCTTTTTTTTTTTCTTCTTGTACGTGGGTTTCTTTTTTCTTCTTCTTTTCTTTTCTTTTTTTTTTTTTTTCTTTTGACAAATAAAAGAAAACACAACGCAGACAGTCGACACACGCTACATCGTAAAGCTTTATTTTTCTATTCATGTTCGTGAACGCGAGCTCGAGATCAATCGTGCCGGAGAGATCGTGGTAAAAAGAAATTTAGGTAATTATGATCTGGCTTAAACGAGGTGGTTT